GTTATAAATGCCACTGAATAATTCTTGCTGTCAGTATTTGCAAGATATTGGTATTTGGGTCTGTACTGGTTAGACTTAAATGAGTTAAACCAAGGTCTATAGCCCTTGGGTCATAGACTATGAGCTATAAGTATATTGGTCTTTTTATACTGGGAATCAGGAGTTATTTTAGTGATCATCTTGTTTCTTATTTTTGTCCTGATTGTGCCCTGAGCAGTTTTATGACTGAATTAAAAACAAATAAAATCAACATAAATTGAAAAATCGTCCTAAATAATCGTGATCTCAATTTCAGTCACAATAATCGTGATTATTACTTTTGCCATAATCGAGCAGCCCTAGATAGAAGAATCCCTTGCAGGAAAACTCTAAAAATATGGAAGTTTTATCCAGCCAAGACTGGAGGGGTAAAAAGATACGCAGCAAGCGTTTATCGATGGAAACGACGGCAAACATGGGTTAAGAGGTGGCGAGCACATGAAGAGGTGGAGGAGAATGAGGAACACATTTGTTTGTGTTAAAAAGTCTCTTAAATACAAAAAGAAAAATTTAAACACAATAGTAAATGCACTATCTTACACCGGATACATGACAAGATACCCCAGAAAAGCGCTACACCCTCTGTTGTCCTGCTTTGCAACACTCCCCAGGTGACGGAGAAGTCATGACGGAGAAGGCAAAACATCTCTGTCAATGTGTGAGGGTCTCTCCCTTGTGGAGCTGACACAGAAGAATAAACTAGGCATAAGTTGGAGGTGAGGGGATAGAAAACGACGGGATTTGGCAGCTTACTCATTATCCATGGTATTCTGACATCTCGTCTTTGAATGGCTCACTGCAACATGACTCTACCACTACCTCCTTTTGATCTGCAACACTGATGTTTTATGTCCACAAATAACACAAGCCTGAAGGAGTTCTGCCATGTGGTGGAGTTGGTAATGCTAATGCTTAGCCGTTATTAGCAAAGACATGCCCTGCTCTCTCCTGGACACTAAACCAACAGCAGCATTACCCATCGCAAGTCAAGATGGGTGAGTCCATGAAAGCTAATTTTCAGAGTGGAGTAGATCTGTGTAGCTTATTCTGACCTGAGCATTTCTACGTCAAATTTCTGTCAGCGGCCAATGCAGGAAATGAGGGATTGTTTCACACTCAAACTCAGAGTGACTTAAAAAAAGGTTTCTCAGTGAACTTGATCTTCATTGTGACGGTGTGCATTTTCCTTGGCAACAGGGCCAGTACATACCTAAAGCCTTGCAAGCAAGCAGTATTTTTGCGTTTGGGTAAGACCTTAGCAACGGATGGCCATTAGGGTTAAAAATCCCTGGAAGCGCAATTTTCGAATTAGTACTTCATCCGATCGTAAACCTCCAGCACAATGACAAGCACATCAGACTCCCTCCCATAAAGTAAATATGTGAAACGCTTATAAATGGCGAAAGTTTTGTACAAATCAGTAAATGCGTTGTGTCCTCACAGGCTCCTGTAGAAAGAAACATGGCATCAAATATAGCATCGCCCAGAGACGTAGACCCACTCCCATATGTTACAAAGCTGCCAATATTGTTCAACAACTGGACATCTTTTAAGTCATTTTAACAACATTTCGATGGATACTTCCAGAGACTAATGAATAAACTACACACTGGCACTTTAAGAAATAAGGACACAAAGAACTTCATATTAAATTATCTGAAATAACAGTTTTTCCAGTTATGAAGCTAAAATTCAAAAGTAATCTGAGAACCAAACAGAGAAAAGAAATCAAAGCCACACAGTAAACCTCATCAGCATTCAGCAACAGGACCGTCTGGGCTTTGTTGTTTGTTATGAACCTCTAGCTTGTCTGAGCCATTTTAATGAGTACTTTTGTCCACAGATAACTCTTTTGTTACTTCTCCCTTTGTCTCGCCAACAGAACGTTTCGCTTTCATGAGACTAAAGTTGTGTCATAAAGTAGCTCAAGCTGCAGATTTTCCCCTCCCCCGATGGGGAGGGAGTTCTTAGAGAGAACAAGGAGAGATGTGACGAGACAGCAACTCTATGTGAATGTCTGGCGGACCGGGCCGGTTAAGATGAAACGGCACGCCGAGTCGGTACCTTATCACTATTCTTTACACATGCAGCTATACAGCATTGCAGTGGATGCTGTGCACACAAAGCATCCTGATAGAAGTCAGTCACACCTCATTAACAGACACATGTTAAAAATAAATTGCTTGATGATGAGGTGAAGAGGAATTGGAATGACGCACAAGACTTAAACTGAAATTGAATGAGAAAAAATATAAATTGGAGCCAATGTTTGCTTTCCAATTCAAGATTTGCAGAAAGCAAGTAGGATCAGCGTGAACAAATGTTAGAAATAATGCCCGAGCTCAGCAAAGCAGTTAAAAGTCAAACTTGATGTTGATCACAGATACAGTTCATATTTTTCTAATTAACTGCAAGTCTGCAGTTTAAAAGTCCAATCTGTTGTCCTGAAACAATTATTTTAGCTCAAGCGTTTGAAATAACTCCCATCTGTATGCAGACCTGCAGAGGAAAATGCACGCTGAGTTCTGACCACTACTCATTTTTAAAATGGGGCTTTATTTTTTAATTTTTTACAACAAAATACTGATTATTAAGTCCTTTTCTGGAAACAGACTTCACATGAATCTAGCCTATTTTACCCATAAACACACATTTTAACTGAAGCTTAATGCAAATATGCGTGCCAGCAATTTGTCTAATAGCACCCAGTTTCTCAGGGTGCCAAAACCTCATTCAAGCACTTTAAAAGTCTTGGTAATACTCGCATATGTGCACATCCTACATTTGGTTGCACCCTACAAGATGGCCAGTTTTTAAAATCTTCTCAGAGCGCCGCAAAAATGGCCTTTTTCTGGTCATTGATGTAACGGTATGAAATGACTGTTTTCCACCAAAAGTCATTCTCCCCCTCTCCTCTGACACAGAACTAGTCAGCATGAGATATGGCCTCAAGGTCTCATGCATTTGTTATAAACTGCTTCTTTCCAGCTCAAGAGAAGAATGAAGAATGGACTCTCCTTTTAATAAATCAAAAAACTCTATTTTAATAAAGCTAATCAAACAAAGTGTTAGTCAATAATAAGATGTGACCAATCTGTGAAATCAAAATTAATTAATTACTTTATTATAATCCTATAGAATATAATAAGTAATATAACTTTAAATGTTTCCACTAGAGACTGATTACACGTAGTTTTCAGAGATGACGCATTGCTTTACTGATCCAATCAGAATCTGCCAGATCTGACGGAGGCGTGGTTTTGGTGGTGCTTGGTAAATCTGTCATCTTTTCATTCGACCATAAACCAAAACATCCGAAGTATGAAACTATGCCCACGGCATCTTTAACGGCAGTTTAAAGCGTTCTAGAGAAGTTTCGGAGTGGCCAATCCGTAACTTTCCTCTTCAGGCAAAAGAACCAACGCCAAGCTGGATAAAATCTGTTGCTGTTCCAACTGCTGCAACGGTTCCTTTCAGAATAAAAGCTGAACCATCACGACCCCGTTTTGGGTCTCGCTAGATGCCAACAAAACTGTCGTGACCCGGGAGTATCTCAAGACTGGTGGTCGGCTGCTGCGGCTGTTCCTACAGGCTTCGGGCTCCACAAGGTCAAGCTGGACCTTTACACCTCCTGATCTAGACGGGGACTTCCGCTAAGGGTATGTAGGCCGACAAGAATGGCATCGAATGTGTTTATAAATCTCCTAACTAAAGCTTAACGCCAAGACTTCACCTTCATTTCCCATCAGAACTAATCATTTCTTCAGATTTGCTGGTTCTGAGCAACATTCCACATTATACCATTCTCCGTCTCATTCACCTTAGTTACACCATACATTTAGTGTTTAAGTTAGTCTCGTTTTAACATGTTTAGTAATAAATCTTTAAACTTTTAAACTTGACTCTCTCTCTCTTTTGTTGTCTCTGAGTGAATATGAAGCTGTTATCTAATCCCTGCAATAAAAAGTTCCAATCTTCTGGTTAAAATAACCCAACAGATCCATAAGGTTGATTTCATATTTCCTATAGAATCCTAGGCCTTATGGCTTATTAAATAACATGTAAATTAAATCATTACATTGAACACGGTGTTTTACAAGGCACTGTAGCTCTGTTAAAGCTGCAATACCAAATCTGCAAAACAAGCTAGCTTTTAAACACAATCATGGACAAGGAACTCTCATCAGCAGCCATCCCATGGCTACTCCCCCCGAAACTGGAACGGACATTTCCCAAGTAAAAGATGAAGCGCTAAACACCAGTCGAAACTTCTTTAGTTGTCCATGACTTTTCTGATGTTAGTGAGCGGAGAACCTCTCACACCAGTGGTGTTCTGTTGCAAAAAGCACATGCAAGCACATAATGAATGGAGGACCAAGGGAGACGCAGAAGTGCGGCAATTCAATGAGACCGACAACCGGATGGCCCATTCATTGGTTTTGGCCCGAACCGTGTAATTGGTTGAGGCTTTTAAACAAATCTGAGAACCATTTCATGAAATTATTTTGTTTATTTTTTTATTCTCCACAAAATATTTATAACTATGCTATGTTAGAATGTTGTTAATAGGCATAAAAATGTTTTAAGCCAGCTTAATTTGCAGATTTGCCATTGTAGCTTTAACTTGTCCCCTGAACGGTGTAAAATCTGGTGTAGTTTGACAGAATAAAACATCTTTATTGTTATTATCTATGGCTGTGGACGCCTTTTGCCACTGATCAGTGAAGTCAATCGCTGCCTAAATGGCTGCAATATCTGACATCTCATCAAAGTCCCCAAGTGCTGATTTTTTATGAAGAGACATCAGCTGAGAGGACCAAACGAGTGAATATTCTCATTCGCCCATCCCCAAAAATGTCTTGAAACTAGTCTAATGCTGAGTTTTGCTTTTGCTCAAGTATAATTACCTTTTGCTTAGTCAGGACAAGAAATGTATTCATCTGAAAGACAAAGGCACTTACTGATCTGAATCTCCTGCTGGCTGGTGAAGTCCATAGCCAAACCAAGGGGCAACGTGTCTTCATTTGTCTCTGTCACCGGGAGTTCTGCTCTGCTGGCATCTTCTAGAATCCAAAGCTCCCACATCTAAGAGACAGAATTAGTCCCTTTCCCTCTCAAACATTTGTCTAAGGACTCAAACAACATACCAATTAAAACTAACACACAACAGTAAGGCAAAGCAGCTTTATTTATTTAGCACATGTCCCTATTTAAAGCAAAAACCAATGAGAACATTTCTAATTGTGGCTATTTTCAAAACTCTGTTAGCAAACATGAATTCTTTACAAATTGTTTTTTATTTAAGTAACAAACCTTTTCATCCTGCCTGGCCATCACGCTGACCTCAATAGAAGCTGCTGATGCAGCAAACAAAAGGTCCCTGGATGAGAAACAAAGCACAATTCACCTTTAATTTTACTAAATGCAAACAACAGATAAACAGAGTAGTTTTAATACATAAAAAGCCCATTTAATTACATGACTAGAAACTGTGTCCATTCTTACCAGTCCTCTATGTGACTGAGAAAGTAGTGATGCTGTCGCTCTGTGCAGCTGCCGTACACACTGTCACCAAAGTTCAGATACTTCGTCTCCACTTTCTCATCCTTTTTCTGCAAATACCACACAGTTTATGAGTCACACCCAGTAACAGGTTCAATTTTAACCATTCCTTATAATTAGGCAGCCTTCTGGGGTGATCACCAGTGTTGGGAGTAACACGGTAAAAAAGTAATGAATTACTGTAATGCACAGCTTTTTGCTGTAATGTGGTAATGTAAGGCATTAAAGGGAAAGAAAAGGGTAATATTTACTCGGTACAATTGTCAGTAACGCGGTAATTACAATGCATTTTTAAACCCAGAATTAGGGCTGCTCGATTATGGCAAAAATAATAATCACGATTATGGTGACTGAAATTGAGATCACGATTATTTAGGACGATTTTTCAATTTATGTTGATTTTATTTGTTTTTATTCAGTCATAAAACTGCTCAGGGCACAATCAGGACAAAAATAAGAAACAAGATGATCACTAAAAGAACTCCTGATTCCCAGGATAAAAGGACCAATATACTTATAGCTCATAGTCTATGACCCAAGGGCTATAGACCTTGGTTTAACTCATGTAAGTCTAACCAGTACAGACCCAAATACCAATATCTTGCAAATACTGACAGCAAGAATTATAGAGTGGCATTTATAACAAATAAATGCAAATAAACTGATGTTCACAAAATGTTACATAACATTTATTGAGTCGTGTCAAGGTGCTGTAGCACTGTGTCCTCAGAGAGATCAGTTATCAGCGTGAGGAACTTATTTCTACCTTATTTATAAACTATTTATTTACAGGCCCATCAGTTAATGTAATAATTGTCCCGACCACAGCTGCACCCCCCACCCCGGTCTCACACAATCGGGCAAGCTGCACGTGTGTTTAGCACGCCGCACGCGCACATTTAGCTGTTTTTAGCTGCTCAGGAGACCGCAGGTGCGGTGTGTGTGTCACTCACTCTGGTTAATCCAACAAGGAGCCGGCTCCGAGAGCTGTCTTTAGCGACCGACACATCACTGCATCATTCCCTTTCCTAATGTTGTGAAGAACGGTCCGGAGCACAGGCGGAGTGTTTAGCTAACCTGCAGGAAATGTCGACGACAGTTATCCAGAAAGTAGCTAAGGGTTACCAGAGATGTTTCTGAGATGTTCGCTAGGTACTTTTAGGATTAAAAAGTCAAGAAGGGGGTCTGAAAAGCTGCTAGAAATAGCGTCAAAGTCGCTAAATTGGCAACACTGTGAGGAGCGCTTCATTTGCAACTTAGGGCAGCGCAAGCGGGAGGAGCAAATAATCGGCTTGTTATGTTTTTTATAATCGTTCAAAACTCAGATCGTAATCGTGATTAAAATTCGATTAATTGAGCAGCCCTACCCAGAATCAAGATGTGTGTTTCTTAAAAATTCAAACTGCGGGAAGCCTGAAAAAAGATCCAGTACCAACATATATGACGCCATTTATGGACTCAGCTTTGCGGACATTCTATGAGCAGAGAGGACGCAGCGGTAATGGCTCAAATACTCCAGCTGCGTCCTGCGCGCGGCCGCTGTTATATTCACAAAATCGCTCCACCAAAACAAAGTAATTCGTTTGCGATCGTTTTTATCAGCCCACATTCTCTGGTACTTCATGTACTTTTCAGCTGAGTTCATAATCTGTGCCCCAGTGATTTAAAGTCATTGCTGCTGGAGCGCAGCGCATATTAAGCTTTTTTTTTTTTTGCGTTCGGTAGATCCCTTTGGCTGATTAGTTAGAAAGTAGGAAATCCAGGAAACAGTTTTTCTGGAAGACGGAGAAAACATGCAGCATGCAGGAAGGTTAGAGAGAGAAAGGGCAGGAAATTATTCAAATAAAATCAAGAAAAAAAGAAAAAAGTAGGTAGATTTATCCCCAATACACATTTTTACAAGTGAAAAGCAATAATATATAAGCATTTAATATTTATACATGTGATAGAATCAGATCACCCCAGAAGTCAGTCCCACATCCAGGGCCGTATCAAGGCATTTGGGGACCAAGGCAAATATAGGCTTGGAGCCCCCACCACCTCACTTCCTGCTCAGTTAATATAAGATGGCAGTGTGCTGAGAGTACAGAATGTTGTAGCTTTTATTCAGTAAACAATCATTTTAAAGCACTGTTATTATATCTGACTGTTTTTAACAGCAATCCTAGCTCAGACACCACATCACTTTCCACATATATGTCATGAGCTCACTGAGCGTCACATGACCAAATTCATATTGAAGTTGTTTTGGTGAAAGTAACTTAAAGTAATGCAAAAGTAGTGTAATGCCTTACATTTTAAAATCAGTAATATTGTAATGTAATGAATTACTTTAAAATGAGTATTATAATATATAATAATATACGTATTTTACTCTCTTTATAAAATTAAATCTAAGTGAAAGACTGCAGAGGTTTAACATCAAAGTTTGATTTGTAGTCTAAGGAAAGGTATAAATGTGTGCATTAATTAAGAAAATGGATATCTTACTGTCCAGCTTACAGCACTGAACTAGGAGTAAGCAGATTCTCAGATGAAGAACAAATGCAAAACTTAAAGTGCAGAACTTGGGAGAGAGTCTGTGCCAAATGTGTTCTGCTGTAATAAGAGCTGTGGTGGACTAAAGTCCACATGTGATTAAGTGAATTGTTTGCAGGACTCACAGGTATGGAAATCAACACTAAATCAGGAGGAGTCTCCAGACACCCGTCTGCAGCGGCATAAACCACAGCAAACACAAACGTTCTCAGCCAGATCACATCAAGAGCTGTCGAAGGCCAGAGAAAAGAGAGATGTCAGCCGCAAAGGAAATCTGAATGACTCCAGAGCAAACAAAACTATTTGACATTCAAATCATAACAGGACATGCTATGTTTACAAGTCAATAAGAGGATCTCTTTAGGTTCATTTACACTTTGGTCAGCTCAGCCTAGGCCGAGTGGGGACAGCCAGGTTGTGTTTGTATAGCCTTCTCAGGAACAAGGACTTAAACAAAGACATGAGCGGATTTCGCTAAAGAGGCGTGGAGAAGTCCATCGTGTCCTTCTTAAAGGCCACAAGTTAGTAAACTAAAGTGGGAGTGAGCTGTGTTGCTTATGGAGACTCTGACATGAAGCACACAGCTTCCTGCTCTTCTCACTGAGCAGCAGTTAGTCCTCACATTGCTCTTCCAGCTCCAACCAGTCCGAGCTGCAGTCAGGGAAGACTTTACCCCTCTGCATCCAGATTGCTAATGAATCGCGCACGCAGGAAGCTGCTGCTAGCCAATTCCACGTTAATCAGATGCTCCCACAACTAGGTAGGTGTGAGAGTGACATAACTTCAGCCAGCCAATCAGTCCATAGGTGGGTGTGTATGGTAGGCTAATCATGAAACAAACCTCAGGGTAGCAAGGCCGAGAAAAGCAGTTGGCTCTGCACAGACAACACCAAAGATGGGGAATTGTGACATCAACAAGTCATCTCCATGCCGTGTTTTTCTTCAGCTCAGCAACTAAACCAGGTGATTTCAATCAGCACAGAACAGTGAATGAACCTGGTTCAGTTATTGAGCAGAACAAAAACACAGCATGGAGAAGACTTGTTGAGGCCACAATTCCCATCTCTGGACAACGCCAATGTAGATGCTACCCTATCAGGGTAAGACCAAGCTGATCTTAGTGTAAACGAGCCATCAGCAACCTGAGAGCACCAGGAATTTATTTAATGTAAGCTGTAGATGGGTGGTCACATTACCTTTGACTGGTTCGTCTGAGGTGTAGAAATGTGGAGGTGGGATAACTTTCTTTTCTTCCAGAGCCTTTGAAAAAATAAAAATAAAAAATCAATTATCCATGAAAAATAAATGCACTTTGCCATACTGGGTAAGTTCCACTTACTGGAGTGTACTGACTGACTGTTGCATTCATTTTTCCTGCTGCAACCTGTTTTCCTTTGGGACTCCAGGAAACTGTTGAGTAAAGCAACCAAGGTGCATTAGAGAAACGGTACCCAAAAAGCAGCGAGTTATGCTTTAAGTGACACTTACTGCAGGTGATGCCACTTGTTGGGGGTAGCTGGGCCTGCACTTTGACAACGTCTGTAACATCAAGAATCATCATGCTGCCGTCAGACAAGCAGGCGGCTAGCATGGATGTCTGAGCAGGATTCCATTTTAAGTCCTGCACTAAAGTCCCGGGATCCACAGCTGGCTGCAGGGATGCAAACGGTAACTTCTGTGGTCTTGCCTGAGATAAAACAAAGAAATGGTGAGTAAACCAGTTGCCACCCTCAGTTAGGCTGTCCCCATCTCTGCCAGTCTTCAAGAGTCACCTAAAAACCCACCTCCTCTGCTTGGCGTTTCCTGAACATGTTGGAATCTGGCCCTCTTTTATGTTGATTTTATCTCACAGTTTTCATTGGTTCACTCTATCCCTTGTTTTACACATTTGTCTTCTACTAGAATGTTTCACCTTTTTCGTAATTTGTATTTTGTAATTTGAATTGCTTTTATTTTCTGATTTATTCACTATATTTAACTTTGTACTGTTTATAAATAAAGCTTTGATTGATTGACTGAAATAATAAATGACTGGAACTTTTTCTGATGGAAACTAAAGAAATAACAGGTTTTGAGTCTCATCCGGGCATTTTTAAATAAACAGTTGCTCTAATTTCAAAAACAAAATGCATTAAAAAAATCTCTGCTGAGTTTTACTATATATGTTGTTTTGACCAACAGTTACAGATGTGGAAAAAGTAAGTAAAATCCCACAAGACTTGTATTTATATGTATGTGTTTATTTTCTAGTCTAAACTGGCTTTTGTGTTTATTTGAAGAGAAAAATACAGATGTAAATATCTGCTATACTCTAGCACCATACATAAGAAAGTAGATTACTAGGAATTTTGTGGGAATGCAGCAGAAACTGAAATAAATGACACTATTAAACCCAGAGAATAAAGTGAATACCTTGTTCATGAAGGTGCGGACATCGTAGAAAGAGATGAACAAGCCCGTCTCCTCAGACTCACCACACACCGACAATGTGAGCTCGTCACAACTGAGAGCAAGGTGATGTAGGTTCAGACCCACTGTGACTGCAGACAGCACTGGCATCCCTTTGACTAAAACAAGAGTGAGACATCTTATTCTACTAACAAGTAAATATCAATGCTGCGTAACACACTGGATTTAATCCTGTGTGGTCGTATTCTTACCAACAACATTGGAGTTCCCCTCAGCTTTATCAGCATTAAGTATATCTTGAGTCATGTACACTTTGAATGTTCTGTCAAGGCCCACGAATGTTAAACCATATTTGTTTGAGACGGTCAGAAGACTAGATCTGTCTTTAGGCAGTTCCTCAGCAGGCTCAAAAACCTGTACTTTCTTCATCTGACGAAACTTAAAATCCTGAAAAAAAGCACAAGAAGGACCTTTGTTTATATTGACTTACAAGCAGCAAACAGTTGATTTTACAACAGCTATGAGGTTTATAACAGTTGATATAATAGCACTCCACATAATCCCGTTTTCAGAAATGTTCTGGAAATGTAAAGGTCTTCTTGTTTTATCTGAAATGTAGTTAAGTTTTTAGCACTGTTATTATACTTTCTAAACTGCTGTTGGCATTTCTAAAAAGGTTATTATATAAGAAGAAGAAAATATCATTTCTATAGCGCCTCTCAAGATAAAAATCACGAGGCGCTTATATAGTATTTTTTATATATATGCAGTGGTCTCTAGTAGGAAAGAATGCCTTGTTAGTCATTCTATGGGGGTAAAAAAGCTCCAATGCACCTGTTTGAGGACATAGAAGTCAGCCGGAAGATAAAAGTAGCTTCAGACAGCAGGATTTGAAGTCTTATTTCCTGATATTTGGACATCTGACATCTGCTTGACTAACAGTAAAGTGACTACAGGGTTTCCCTTACATAGGCGTTTTTGCGCCGTTTCCCAAAGAAGCAGCAGGAACTACTGTGTTGTTGCTTGTGATCACAGCCGGCAGGTAGCAAGGAGGAGGAGGCACGGCAGGGTGGTTACAGCTATGAGCGTACGGATAAAGCATTTTTGACGAATACGAGCAAGAAACGAGTGTAAACCTCGAAAATATCTGTAATCGTGCTGAATGAAATTCTCATTGGGTAACTGACTGTCTTCAAGCTCTGTGATTGGCCAGTCAGATAGAGCGCCCGCCCCTCCCTACACGCAAAACTGCAGCCGGGAGCTCCATCAGCTCGGCCCAGGCATCAACGCACACACACACACAGTAAGCCGGGCGTGCACTGTGCAACTTTTTCACTTTTTTGAGCAGATTTTCCACTCGTGCGAGAATCCACAAGATCGGGGCGAGTTTTGCGCTGAGCGTCGTGTAGTGTACAGGGGGTTACGAGAGGCGATTAACACCACGTGACCAGCTACCGATCAGCAATCGTGAGCTGCACGGACTTCTGGAGTGTTCAATATTTATCTCGTTCCTCATGAGGGTTGAAGCGGTGCAGCGAGCAGCTGCGACCCAAAAAGTATCAGAACCGCTCACGGCGCATTCGCAATCCTGCATCAACTCCGCTCGCCCGCTATTTCCATAATAACACACGCTGTTCGTTTTTGTTTCTACACGTTTTTTTTTACTCACAAAGATTGTCAAGAAAGCGTGTTTGTCGTGTTCATGTCAAATTAAACTGATCACAAAACACAGATTTACTTTCTTTATTTCGTTTCCTCATCCAACCCCCATAAATCCCTGTGTGTCCTCCTGCAGCACTCCCGAAGGACAACAGGCAAAAACAAGACAAAAAAGTCTGACGTGTGTAAAAACTGCTATTTTTGGCATATTTTAGGTCCGACGTGTTGCTACCAGACGTACAGTGAGCACACGACTCGTGAGATCTACCCTGCGCTGAAGTCGTACAGTTTGAGCTGAAGCTGTGTTACGAGTGAAAAAGTCGCACAGTGTCCGCCCAGCTTATTATAAGGTTCACTGTAATGCATTGATGTTCTTAACAAATAAATTAAATCAAAAATATTGGTCAATAATGCCAAATATGTAAATTTGTGTTTCAGTCATTTTTATACTGGCTTAAAAATACTCCATTAAGTCTACTAAGCAGGGGTGTAGAACGTTTTTATTAGGGCCAGCCCAGTAATGATCTTGGACCAAAATAAAGGGGGCAGAAAGTCAAATAAAGGGGGCAAAAGAAGATGTTTTTCCAGACGCCAAGAAAAATTAAATGCCAAATCCACCCTGCAAAGTGTGTCACTGAGAGTTTAAAACAGAAATTATTATTGTGCAAATATTGGTGTACTCACCTTTAATACTAGTTATTACAATGTAGCAGTTGCTGGATTGGTGCAGTTCAAAGTGGAGTGCATCAAATAAAACAATATTAACATAAAGGTGAGACGTGTCATAACCCCCCCCCCCCCCACCCCCGCCAACACCACCACAGCTGGAAAAATTCCTAGGGGAAACACTGCTACCACTGACTCAAGTTTGCTCTGCAGCATTGATATTTATTCCCAACAATTAACTCAAGCCTGAAGGAGTTCTGCTTTGTTGTGGAGTTGCTAATGCTAACACTTAGCTTCTACTAGTTGAGATGTTTTCTGCTGTTTCCTGGACACTAAATCAACAACAGCCTTCCCCATTGCAAGTCAAGATGGGTGAATCCATGAATGGTAAGCGACAGTGTGACGTAGAGCTGTCAGGCTTTTCAAATCCTAGAGCAGGGGTATTCAATTCCGGGCCTGGAGGGCCGATATCCGGCAGGTTTAACCCCGTTCCAACACACCCGATTTCAATCAGCATATAATTAACAGGTATTTGCAGAGCCTGATGAGCTTCAGCACATGTGATTCAACCATTGAATTAAGTATATTGGAGCAGTGAAACAACTAAAACGTGTTAGATGCCAGCCCTCCAGGCCCGGAATTGAATACCCCTGTCCTAGACTTTCACTATTTTCTAGACTTTCACTATTTCTATCAGAAGCTAATGAAGGAGATATATAAAAAATAGGACACTATTTTCACGTTCAGTCTGCATGTTAAACTCAGAGTGACTGATTTAAAAAAATAAGTAAAAATTGTTTCTTAGTGAAGGACCTCTTTAAGTTTACAGTTTGGTTGTGCAACGTGGGGTCAGTGTTGAAGTTCTAATTCTACCAAAGGAGAAATAATTCAAACATCATCTCTGAGATGCTATCTAACTTGTCTTAAGTGCTTGAAAGCTGATTTTCTCAAACTTCTTAAACTATGTAGAGTATAGGGCTGTCGCGGTTGAGGAATTCCCCCTGCGGTGATTCAGGGTGGCTTAATATTGCGGAGTGCGATATTATTGCAGCCCTTTTTTTATTGCAGTACTATCTAAACATAATGTTTACACATTTAAAAAAGGTTAAAAATTGCCGTGCCTTCTTCAATAACGCTTTACTGAATGCAGATCAAAGGGCAGTAACAACACAGATCGCAGTAACGTTTGTTTCTCCGACAGTCGGAGTCCGACTGAACTTAAAAACAACAAAATTCAGGAGGTTAAACTTTTAAATGCAAATTTGGCTGCAGCATCTAACAAATAAGAAACAAGTCCCCATTTTGTTTAGTTGTTTAAAATCAAGCATAAAAAATTACATGTACCGGGCGCGCGCGCGCCGGGGGGCGGGCGCACTATCATTTCACTTTCACACACACGAATGACGGTGATTTATAGCTCGGTCACGTCCTTGTTACCTACAAGGAAAACCAAGCATGTTAACCATATACGGTTTGAGAGAGGATCTGAGAGGGGTGGCAACATTTCCAGCAACACTGAAAACCCTCTCGGATGGTGCGTTCGTTGCACTAACGCACACGTACTTGCGTGCGACTCTGCCGAGCAAAGGGACTCTCTCCCGGTTGTTGCTCCACCATGTCAGGGGGGTTTCTTTAGGGTGGATGCATTCCTCCTGCAGGTAGCGAGTGAGCTCCAGCTCGGCTCAAACTCTCTTCAGGACGGTTGCAGAAGCAGTGCTTGTCCGGGACTTCAGCAGGTCTCCGAGCGTTTATTATTATTTTTTTGCCGCTGGTGGCAGCTCTGTCTCGGCCAAGGACTCTGGCTGTGCAGCAGCTGACGTACTGAAAACCAAAGTGCTCCCAAAGGAGCGAAGTGACGTTTCGTTTTGATACCAGTGCAGCCATCCTTCTCAACATGCATCATTGAGTTGAACCAAGTTCAGTAATCGCGGTGGTCCATGATGCAGCGCGGTGGGCTTCTTCATATTGCGATATTTCATTTTTGCGGTTACCGCGACAGCCCTAGTAGAGTATAAAAACAATCCGCTTGAAATTTGAAAATGTTTAGATATCTTCAAATGACTAGCAGTGAAAAAGCTGTAAAAATGCTGACATGTCACATTACAATTAAGTAGATATTGCACACAAAATTACACACATTATCAAATCTTTTAGCAATGTTATGACTGCCATAACAATGGCGATTAGGTGCAAATTCCTACATTTTAATAAAAAAATGTAAAATTGCATTAAGTACATTTGGGTACTTTACTTTTGATCTATGTTCTTAGTTGTATATCAGTGCTAATATATTGGCAATGCAGTTTGTTACTGCATTAAATTTGCTAAAGTGGCTTTTTAGAGTATTTTGTACTTCTGTCCATTTGTATAAAATCTAAAGTTGAATGAAAATGGAGTTAACAAAAAATAATAATCTTGGGTGTCATTCATAGTGCACCTAAAATACATTCAAGTACAGTTTACATGTTTGCTCCTACCTGTGAGATTCACTAAAGAGTATAAATCTCTAAAAACAAACCTTAAACTGTTTCAATATTATATGATATAAGGTGCTCCCTATGCTTTTGGAAGCACTGATTAAAGTATTTGCATACAAATAGACAACAACAAGCGTTTAAAGCAACTTATATACTATTTCTTTAATGTATTTATTCTTAATTATAAAATAGCCTAAAATAAATTGTAATAGTCGTGCAACGTAACCGTAATATCAAACGATGTCATTTGTTGTCATAAAAGACCTGAATGACATCTCTGTTACCGTTAGCATAACATTGCGGTGCTAACATACGTAGACTGAAACGAATATAAAATAATTTCTTTTGACGGACTTGAGAGAAAATTGTAATCAGTTCTCCGTTTTCATCACTCGGCATTTTATCAATGTGCATGGTCTAAGTCAGTAAAAAACAAGGGGTTATAGTAATCTAAACCAAAATAACTTTACAATCAGTTAGCTAGCTGCTTATAAGCTACTAAGCTAACCAACGCCGTAGCTTTCCACATGCTAGCCGCGTAAATACCTTCATCTCCCTCTCAGGAGGGGAGTCTGTATCGTCACTCATTTCGAACAGAAACTTCTGATTCTCCGGATGAGGTTTTGCTTTAATTTATTCCTTCAAAGCGTAGATGTAAGTCAAAGTTCGAGCGAGCTACATCAACTGAACTCGCCGCGCCGTTTTGTGTGTGAAAATAAAATAGGATGACTAGTGGATGCTAGAGTGTCCTTTTGCAGTTAATAAATAAATAAGGATGACGAGTAGATGCCAGAGCTAACTGAGATGGCCCACCAGTCTCTTGGATCCGAATAAAAACAAAACGTGTTTAGAGCTGATTTTTGCATCTTGTTTCTGATCATATTTGCCGGGAAAATGTCTTGTCTGTTTACAAATAGTATGTCAGGATATTAATATATATTGTTTTCATATCATAAATGTACAAATTAGCATAGTTTCTTATTCATAAATCCAAGTTCTATAATCATAATTTATTCCTGTTTATTTCCCATAGAAGAGTACAAGTGTCATAAAAACCTTAAAAATGTGATATATGAATTTAAACGTTTACATTTTTTGTGCTGGCATTGCTCTAAGCCCCTTTGATTGTTGCATTTATGGTACTGACTCAAGATGCATTTAGCTTTTTATTTATTTTTCTGCTATTACTCTTTGCCTTAGCCAACCTAATGTATGACGTATGGTTCTTAATGAAGTAAAACGTTTTAAATATTTTAAACATGGATAGTTATGATGCAATAAAAGTGACATACTAAAAAAAATGCTAAACAACATTTAAATCAGACTATTCACATTCTTAAAGTTGTATTTTTATATCCAAGTTTTTATTTTCCAACTGGTCTCCCTGACTTTAATGAAAATAGTTGAGAATACTTAAAAATCTTTTATAACTAACTTTTGACATGAAATCTACTCAGGGGAACAAAAACAATTAGGTAAAAACTTTTTAAATGTCTAATAAAGTTATACTGACTTTTGTTAACATACACTTGCAGGAAAGTTTGTACTTGTGTATAAGCACTTTACAAGTTGCAGAAACTTTTATTTCTCCTATGCATGATTCTTTTTTGAATCAGTACCCCTTTGGGAACCCCAAGAAATGAAGACAAAAGGAATAGCCACCCACTACAGTATAGGTGAAGTAAGGACTTTTATTAGAAAGCTGAATTTTCTGTTTTGCATTTAAACAAATCAGGTACTCCTCTGCGACTACATAACTTAAAACTGATAATGGCAGAGATGATGGTAGGAATGAAAGATAAGATTCTTATGTAACATCAAAAGTGGCATCTTGCATTTCCATTATATAGTATTCATGCTTGAGCCAGAAGGCGCATGAACATTTTAACATTTTATTCTTTTAGAAAGCAGAAACAACATCCAGGATTTCCGGGGCCAGGCACTGCTGATTGTGAAGAACAATACAGTGATCGGAGTTTACAGTTGCATGATCGGATCCTTTTGTCAGCTTGTGCACTGACGTCCATTATCAAGTTAGGTAGGAGTTCAGACTTCAGGCCAAGACTGGCCCACTCTTGCATGACAGATGTGGCCCGTGTCAACATGGGGTGACTGTTCATGAAGCACCAAGATTTTAGTCCGTTCTTGTTGCAGTAACACACACTCATTATATCCACGTCCTTCTGTTCTGGGGAAAGCAAGCTAGCATAGATCGAAGCAAGCTAGAGAAGGACAAAGCAAAAAAAGCAAGAGCACAGCAAGTCATGTCACAACTCCAATAGTGCACCGCGGGCCTCATCCCTTTTCTGATTGTCAGCGCTCTGAACACATGGCTTTAAAAATTGCATTTACTCCTCTTTTGCCCGTATCCTTGGACACTCTTGACTTATTTTTTACACTTTTCTTTCAATTTCCAAGTAAAGTGCTGGCTTTATGTTCAATTTCACACATACACATATAAACCTTTAGTGCATTTTTTTCTGAGTCTGCAAAATATTTAAACGCACACTCAACTGGGTAGTTAGTCTGTGTGTATTCCACTCCTAATCAGTACTTTGCTGTCAATTATACAAGAGATTACACTTTATGCAAACATTCAATGAAAGGCCGGAGTGTGTGAGAAACACACACACACACACACGCTTGCTGCAAGACTCCCCAGTCGTTGCTAGTTAACAGTGACAACAGTTATTCAGCATAAAATACATGGTGCATAAAGATCAGAGGTTTCTTCGGGTTAGGGTGATCATCTGAATGGCATGCACTTTATGATGCAAGTGTCACTTTGCATATCAATGTATAGTTCTCAGGTGCTCGGAAGAAAAATAAATACAGTGCCCGTTTATTTTTACAGTAATGAGGGATAAGCTGAGCCCTATGTCAGGTTTGTGAAGAGTTACGAAGTTAGCTGGAACAAAATGTTGGTGACAAATGTTTCTTTACAACCAACCAACCCGGCCTTATCTCCTGTTTTCAGCTTACAGTAAATGATATACTAGTTTGACTCCAGTCAGTGTGTCAAATCAGAACTTTACTTTAGCGTTCAGCAGCCACCCTCAGATGGAGCTCCTTCCCCCAAACGGTCAGCCATGACATTCTCTGAGAAGTTCTCAGCTTATAGTGCAACATCACTCCATTTACCCTGCGTAGGGGAAAGAAAAGACCCAAAGCACCTAAAAAAACTAGCTAGACGCGCTGGTTGAAGCTCATGTTTAACGAGGAAGACGCGTTCAAGAGGGTGAACTGGTTCGACTAGAATCGATGTCGAATTTTATTCAAACATTTCTATTCAAGTGGTGGATCTCGCTTTTAATGCAATGTTCTCCAATAAGGTGCCGGTTTTAATTCAACATCAAATATTGGCTGAATTAAATCTCCTAATGAGTTTGGTCTGATAGGGTTAAAGATCAAACACACACCCGAGTGGTTTCCAACAAACCAACGGAATATAAAGTAGTGAAGCTCACAGATAAGAATCCCTTTTACAATCTCAAACATGAATTTTAATAAGGACTAAAGTTTACATTGATTAATATACAACAGGTCTTTGATTTAGTTTATATCAGTAGGATAATTATGGCACACATCCACAGTCTAAGGCACTGCTCCACACTATGGTGGAAAATACCACATTTTCCAACCCGTTATCGTTCCCAAACACCTCGATCGTAAAGTGAACCTAGAATTCTTATACATTTAGCAATTATATTGTTGTGAAAAGATCTGATCAACAATCAAAACCTAAAGTTGATTCAATCTGAAGGGATTTGCTGCATCTTCTGTGCTCACCGATCAATTTAATGAGGATTTGATTTAACTGGCGGAGTTTTAAAGTAGAAAACTTTTTCTTTTTACATAATTTTGAAAAGTAAATTTGTTGAAAATTCAAAATGCATTAAAAAAATGAATAAATCAGTAATTAAAACACTGGATCCAGTAGACTTTTATTTCCATTTAGGAGCAATTAAGGTGGAATAAACAATGATAAAGAATTAATTATTTTATTTACTTGACTTTTCAATATTAAAACCTCCTTTTGGGATTATTATTATAAAATAAACAATAGAGGGATAAATTCCCACAGTTTAGCTTATTTTTGAACTCTTTTAGTTAAATGTTCTACAGTGGAAGACCCATTGGTGTTTAAAAATCTCTGTTGTTCTAGAGGACACCGTCCAGCCTTTATGTCAGTATTTTTTTAAGTTTATAATTTGTGTAAAAGATTAATCCACACATGAGGAAAAAATAATAATTTACATTATTTTTTTAAAGAAAAATTCAAGACCCTCACCAACGCAGTGCTACGGTTTACATTCATCCATTAACTTGGCTGTTCTATCACAACCCTGGTTTATGTGTGGCAGATCACATCTCTTCCAGGAAAGACAAAAAACAATGTAAACGTCATCCACATCACCTAGTGCAATCATGACCTTGTGTTTCTTGCGCAGGGCCATTTAAAGCTAACTCTAAAGACAACTGGAGGATAGACAACAGGAAATACCTGGCCCAACCGGTAAAGTGGCACATCACAGAACACGAGAAAAATAAAAATGTACAGGGGAGAATATACAGGTGCCATTTTTAATCCTTAATCTCCTCGTGCAATCACTTCTGCGGCTAATAAAAATAAAGAATACACTTTTTCCCAATCACTTTTTGGATGACATTTCCAAACTATAAAAGAAAAAAAAAGGCTCCCAGTTCTTTCACTGGAATTAACGGTCTGCTCTTGTGATTAGATTTGCTTTCGCTGCTAATTGGAGCCTACGAAACGCAAAGAACATTCGACAGCTTTAGATAAAAATGCACAGGACAGAAAAGAAAGAGGCAGTAGGGACTGTTGTGTAAAAGGCAACAAGCATGAAAACTAACAACGAAAAACAAAAAAAGAATAATGAGCATGACGAATGTATGGCCCTTACTCCCCCATCAAAACACACAAAAACAGTCATTGTCAGAGAGACCCGTTGTTTCTATCCAAGCCCACAGAATGCCTGATTAGGTTTGTAATCAGGGGTGATGTGGTGCTAATTTGCAGTCTTTTGCAGGTCCATTTAGTCCACTTTTAACTCTTCTTGAGTGCAAAAAGCACCAAAGCCAGCATAACTTTGCTCTTTAAAGTTCTAATAATTTACCCACCCATTTCCCCCACAAGGAAAAAGAAAGAAAAGAAACAGGGTGGAAGCAGGATTGTGTAGTCTCACACCACCATCAGTGTAGTGCACTTCTTCTTTCTACGCCAGATTCAACCTCCTTATTTTTTTAAAAGTGACAACTCCATAGCTAACATACAGGAATCTCTGAAAATCCCAGGCTGCACCCAAGGCCAGTTCTAATGTTTGGATTCAAGATTCCAGTAAAAAAGGAGAAATCCTCCTGGTTTTAATGGCACGGTTCCAGGCAACAGTAGCGGTTTTCTTATTTGGATGCATGACTGTGGCTTTGCTGTAGTTTTCTGTATTTCTCTATCCACCATTTGCAGTTATGCATGCAAGCCTCAACGTTAGTACATGTTATTATTCTGCATCTCCAAGACAGTTTGATGCAATAAAAATGCTCTTTTTTTAAATTCAGAATTCAAATGCAACTCTGAAAACGGATTTTAATGGCTTGTAATGATAAAAAATATGCATTTTTGTGTGTGTTTAGCAGCATGTGTGTGATGTTAGGAGGGGCTGTTGAATGCATTTGGAAATCTGAGTTTGTTTTGGCATTCTGGGGGAAAGTTTGTCACATTACATTCTGTAATTTTCATCATAAAGGTGACATGCTGGTTGTTAGATGGTTTTGTCACAGCACATGACCTTTTATGGCGTCACCGCCAATTATAATAGTAATCCATAAACAGGACTGTAGACAAACTTCTTAAACGTGGCTCCTGTTAGCGGTTTCTCTAAGCTAGGTTTCCCAATTGTCTGGTTGTTTTCAGATGAACCTTCCCTCCCCAAAAAACCAACAACAAATAAATTGAGTCGTTTTACAAACCATTACACACACAGCCAGCCAAGCAGCTGTAGCTTTTGTATTGCACGGATAAGATGAATCATTACAGCCAGTTGTTCTGCTATGAGGTCTTTGTTACATATCTGCAGGAACCCAAATACTGAGTGCATACTTAATATAATAAAAGAGAGAGTAGGGGTGGATTTGACTGGGGCAGATTCTCTGAATGAGCTAATGCCATGCCTGTGTGTACCTCTGCCATCAGTGTTCCGCTTGTACGTGAGTACACGAGCGCATGCATGCGTGGCAAATTTCCGTGTAATAAGATTTACGAGTGCTGCTTTTTGTGCTGGAAAACTCCTGTTGAGGAAGCACAGAGGAGGAGGAGAAAGGGTGGTGGATGAGATGCTGGAGTTAAAGAGAGAGAGAGAGAAGATGTGTGGGTTAAACGGATTTCACAATATGAGGAACATTCACTGTCCGTTCACCCTCAGTCCGTGTTCAAAACTTTCCACTTCCTGCTTAGGCGATGTGATGCCTCTGTCGCCCGCAGTGACTATCAGGGGTCCCCCCAGCGATCCGTCTACCCCCTCCAACCCAGATTCATCCTCATCTTCCTCCTGCTCCTCCCGAACTGCAGCTTCACCTTCTGCCTCTGCGTCGGCTCCCCTGGAACCGGGGCTGCCTTCTGTCAGCGGCGGGTCAGTCCTAAGGGGGTCCTTGCGTTCCAGGTACAGCCGTTGCTCTAGGGCCTTGAAGTCATGCTCAAACGGGAGAGGCACGCCGGACTGAGGGGCACCCAGAGCCAGGCTCAGACCCACGCCAGCACCCATGCCCATCCCCGCCCGGTACACCTCCATGCCATCAGGCAACATGGACTTGATCTTGGGCAGCCATCTCTTGCGGACCCGTCTCGCATTTGTGCACATGTCAGCAGCAATCACATTCATTTCACTCTCCTTGAAGTTGGGGTTGAAATTCTGACAGTAGACTGTAAATGACAGAAAACAGCATTTGGTACGAGTTCTCTAACATTTATTAAAGGATTTGAAGAATAAACTTACGTTTGACAGCGTTGAGGACCCTGCTGTCCAGAGGTTTCCTACTGGGATCACTGGTAGAAGAACGTATGCCTGTCCCACAGCTGTTCGCTAGAGTGTTTCTGTAGGAAGACGGTGTTAACACCAGGGGGCAGAGTCAGCAGTAGGTATATTTACAGAAGACCAGCATGGGAACAGCTATGTGCATTGCACAACATGGACACAGACAGAGCGTGAAAGTTAGTTTGTGATCACAACAGCAGGACTGGAGTCAGGCACAGATGTAAGACCAATGCAAACTTTTCAACCCAAATGCGCTTGTCGTTACACTCACCTGTCAAAAAACGTGGCTAGAAGACGGCGGAGCAGGACTTTGTGTTTGATGCCGGCACACAGATGACAGTTCATCAGCTGGCCTCTGGTCATAAACACCTGGGTGCCTGTGTTTCAAAGAACAGAGCAGAGGTTACAGAGAAATGCTTCCAACTGAATCAGTAAAGTAAGACTTGTCTCTCTTTTGCCCCAGTTTTGCTTTTAGAAAAGGATTAAGGCTTCATCAGCCGAAACCGGAGTCAGAAACTTAGGAAAATCTGGAAAATGATCAAAACAACTCACTATCAAACCATTAAAGAGAGTAAAATGAGCTGCAGGCTGAATTTGATCAGGTGATAACTTAACTTTAGCTATACTCTGCTGATGATACTCCGCGCTCAACGTGCCGAGTCATACCTGCTAGTGCTGAAATGCCAAAAGCAACATCTGAAATCTAAACTCCAACGTAAACTTTTTTTTTGTCTAGTCATACTTTTTCACCACCCCTACACTCCCTGAACTCTGTAAGGAGCATTTAGCAAACCCCCGGCAGGCAGTCATATGCTTTTCACTTCTGACTGACTTCTATCGAGACGCTCTTCCATAAAGGCCTGATTGATGACAACTGCAGAGATCGTTGTCCTTGTGTCACGGCCTTAAATCTCTCCAAAGAAACTCTGCAGCTTTGTTTTATTCCTTTCAGATGGACCGAGGATTAAATCCATTATATAATCCAATCGGAACAATTTGATCTACACCAACCGTTTCTGACCCTCTCCTGGTGATATAGTCTTTCAGTCAGAGCTAAGATGTTAACCGCAATGTGCTAACACCATTTCACCCGAATGTACACTCGTGCTTGGGTGCACGAAATCTGACACGTGGGACCTCAGCTTGGAGGTTGGCTCAATGATCAGGCTTCGTTTTCATTAGCATCAAGTGCTTCTGCTATCCCCCAACACCCTGGGTTTATTGGTTTGATGGAATTAAATAAGCAGAATCAGATTTCAAGAGGATTGAATTTTGAATCCTAAAAGCCGTTTTCATAGGCAAATCAGCGTAATACTGCCGCTGCAGTGTGTTTTATGAAAGCGCTGTGGCGGCATGGCGATGCGGCCATCTCGCGGATTTCATGCCGCCAACCTTGTTAGTAATATTACTGCTAGACTTGTGAATGAAGATGTCACCTTGGCGCAACAGAGGGAGGTGTCATGATCATGTGTGGAATTACCGTCAAGCTCCGGCCGGCTACTACATTGAAAATGAGAGTAAACGCGTGCGTAAGTTTAGCTTTTGTTAACAGACTCAGCTGAGACGGCAAACTAGAGCGATGCAGAGCTCTGAAAGCTTCTCTCCGTTAGAGCTGGAGCTAAAATCACCAGAGAGTTCACGGGGGAATGTGGAGGACAGACACCTTTAGGAGCGGCTTCAATCGCAATAAATAAAGTTAATCCAAGCTAAAGGAAAGTCCGTGGCAGCACAGAGAATGCCCCCGCAACCCCTTCACACCGCCATTGCTTAGCACATGATCGCGCCACAGTACCGCCACAGTCGGACCACTTGCGAACGAGCAAAGGCTCCCTGATGACGCCTCAGCGTTGCAGCTAATTAGTGACAATGTTTTATAAAAGAGGCTATTGTGAACAGGTCCGGATGCTTTCAAGTGCTTTTTATTTTTGTGGGGAGTTTGCTCATAAAAATACGTTTTGTGCTTACTCCCGTGCCAAAAAGACAAAAGACAGGTGATGATGTTTTTGCCTTTGACTATGTCAAAACATCTAATGAACCACAGGGTGGAGTTCAAATAAAACTCTCAGACATGGAAGTGCATCTACAAGGGATTCGCTTTTGAAGTCAACCCAGTTCAAGATGGCCACCGCTGCAAACCACCCTTAGCAAAAGTAGCCACTGATCTACGATTTAGTCTTCATGCAGCTGGGAGTCATTCGCAACACATACTTTCAAGATTCTTACTAGATTTGACATAAATTGCTACAACTCCGTCACTTCTCAGCAAAAAAATTACACATACTAAATGTGTTTGCCTACCAGCTACCAGCTCCAGCTTCTCTCCTGGGTCCCCTTCAGTGTAGAGCTTAGGGTGGCAGCGGTAGCCAATCTGGCTTATGAGACTCGCAGGAAGAGCTACCAGGTCTCTCCGGATCAGGACGCAGTTACGACTCTCTAAGGACAAGGGTATGGCTGCCATCTCCGGCTTGTCTTGGACTAACAGAACCAAGAAGAAAACACAAGAGGATTTAACCACAGGAAAACAGAATTCTACACTTTTACTGAAATCTTTAATATAAAATCAAAGACATCAAGACTTAATTATTAAGGCAAGTTCAGGTAATCTGATGCACACTTAGATGTTTCAGACCGTTGCAGATGTATCCCAGATAAGCCAGGATGCTGCATTAGTCATTTGAGTTTTAGGGGCTGATGGGGTGGGGGTGGGGGGGGGGGGGGGGGGGGGGGGGGGGATATGAGCGTAAGGTTCTTCTCCCCCCAAAAAACTTTTTCCCTGAACCTCCAGAATGAGCTGCACACAAGCGCAGACAAACACACATTACCAATCACAGCAAAGCACGTCCAAAATAGAGGATTTATTCTTTTGTGTGTTTGAAGATGATTCTACCATGCACACACACTTTCATACAAGGAAGATGAGTGTGTGTGTGTGTGTGTGTGTGTGTGTGTGCGTGTGTGTGTTTCTCAAATATCTAACAATGTCACCCTGCAGTGCTCTGACTGATTGCAGATAGAGTGGATTTCATCAATTTCTGAAACTCTAGACTCTAACAAAGCCGTGTCATGCCTTTCAGCTGCAGGGTGTAAAGATTTATGGAGTGTGTGTGTGAGACAGTGCACACTTCATGTTTGCAAGTAGAAATTTAGGCTAGTGTGTATGTGAATGCAAACATACACATATATACTGTCTTAACACATGCTTGTGTGAGTAGAGATTTTCACATCAGCAGGAAATTTACGGTAAATAAAAAAGGAAACATTACAGAATGCAGTCCAGGGCAGCTGCTGTAGCTGCGATAAGGACTGTTGTTGGTCACGATGCACTCCATAAGGCTATCTTTAAGCTGAGGGAGTCCACACACACACACACACACACACACACACACACACACACACACACACACACACACACACACACACACACACACACACACACACACACACACACACACACACACACACACACACACACACACACACACACACACACATTGGTGGCACAAGATTCTGCCCTTCCAAGATGTGCAAGATACATGATTTATGAAAGATTAAATAATGTAGCTGGGAAAAAATGAGTGTGCATCTTTTTTTTGTTGCAAAGGACAAAACCTCTACATTTTTTTCTGCAAGTCATGCCGAGTATTACTTTTAGATTTGTCCGATATCAAATGAATTTCCTATATTCAAGCCAAGGGCAGATGAAAAAGTAATGCACTTGGTTGGACTAGAAAGATAAAATTTGGTATAGAATTGGATTGTAACACTCAGTCCTTGATTTGAAAAAAGCTTCAAGTTATTGTTGTGAGTTCCTTGAGTTTGAGGTGAGACACACACACTAATAACACAGTAAAGGTAGAATATACAGCAATAATTTATTACATTCATATATTTTTAAAATAAAAAATATGATTTTTCTATAGTTCTTCTCAACACCTTTGGCAAGTGTATGGACAGTGCAAACAAAACAACTTCCTTTTTGCAAAATAAAAGACCTAAAAGAAAAAAGCTGGACTATGTCTGAACAGATTTTCATCAGCTTGTGCAATTTTGAAACGGATGTAGCTCTAGTTAAACTCACTACGTCACACACCCCATTAACACACACACACATGCACATTATTACCCACAACATCTTGCGTGGGTTGTCATTAGTCACCATCGTACTCACTTCCGTAGGAGCTAGCCGAGCGTCCATAGATGTGACTGTAGCCCTCCTCTGCGATTCCGTCGTATGGCTCCTCCTCAAACTCCTCATCCTCGTTCTGATAGGATGTGGGACTGTCGGTGGTAGGCAAGCTGGACTCTCCAGGGCTGGACCTCTCTGCACCCGTCCCTCCCCCCGCCCCACCTCCTGCTCCACCTCCACTGGTCCCTTGAAGGTAGACAGAAGGCACGCCAGGGATGGGGGTCCCTCCAGATGCTGAATAGAAGAGCGCACTGGCCCTTGCCAGTCGACTCCCCAGCTCCGACGTGGAAATTTTGCTTTGCGTCAAGGGTGTTGAGATCGGCGTCGGTTCGCTGCCCTCAAGTTTAATCTTACGCTGCTGGATGAGGAGGGATGAAGTAGACCAGCCCGAGGATCCCAGAATGGTGGCCACAGATAGGCCATTCCCATTATTAAGAGGGCTCTGAGGCTCAGACCCCATTTCTTCTAAGGACCCTGCAGTTTGCGAGTCACAGTGAGGCGAGTTAGCCTTGAACATTAGGTCCATGCCCCTTTCAACTATGTGCTGAATCTGGAGGTAGCCAGCTGTGTACATGACAACCAGCTGTTCACTGGCTGCCATCGTTAGCTTCCCCGTGTAGCAAAACCCAAGGATCTGCTCAAAGCAAGCAGGCGTGACTGAGGAAGGCAACTCAAACTGGGTCTTGGTTGAGCTGCTGAAGAGGTCACGAAAGTAGAGGCTGCTGGCAGCCAGAACCGCCCTGTGGGCTTTAAACGCCTGACCTGGGTTGGAGAGAAAGGTGTTGATTAAAATGTCTCAAAGTCTTACTCTAAACAAAAAAATATATATATTAGCCCACCTTTAACCAGTATGGATACATCACAGTATTGTCCCTGCAGGCGCTGCTCATTGAGGGAACCCAGAACTGTGGCTCCAAAGTTCGGGATCTCCACGTGGAGCAGCTGGGACATGTTGGCCACGGAGAAGAGGCGTTTAAATATTCACTGCAGTCTCTGCCACCGAGAGAGGCATCTGTAAATCCAAAACAAACAAAAAAAAATGTATAGAGATATGAATGAGAAGGGGGAAAAGGGAAGCAACTGGTAAATAAAAAAATGTGCAAAAGATGAGCGGATAAGCTAAGAGAAGGCAGAGAGGCGACAACCAGGAGGACAAAGCAAAGGCTGGAAACAGAATGATGTGAGAAAACGAGTGCAGCTGAGGGAGAAGTGAGAGGAGTGTGAAGGAAAGATGGATCTGTGAAGATAGTGGGTGACAGTTTGAAGACAGGAGAGAGGAAGGAGGAGTCAAGTCACTCCACGGGAGGAAAAAAAAGTAAAAACAATACAGAGCCTACTGTAAGTGTGTGTGTGAAATGTTGTGGAACATCTTAAGGCTATGTTGTCTGACATGACTTGAGTTCTAGGAACCCTGGGCTCGCTCCACAAACTCCACTAAACGTATCGCAAACAGTTTTCACGGCCGCGTGGACTTTGATGGTCTGGAAGTTCGCTGGGCAATAACTTCCCTCGACAGGTGAACGCTGCCAGTTCTTCATGTCAGAGTTCAGAGGTCCTCCTTCAGTCTGCTGACTCTTCACCTTTCGACGCTTTAGCCAGGATTTTATTTATTTATTTATTTATTTTTACTTTTTTAGGTATTACCTCAGCTAGTTCCTCGAATTACTTTGCAACACATTCTCCAGGAACATTCACACCTTCATTACATCCCTGAACCTTGTCTTTGTCTCTCCACCTCCTCTCTCCACACACACACACACACACACACACACACACACACACACACACACACACACACACACACACACACACACACACACACACACACACACACACACACACACACACACACACACACACACACACACACACACACACACACACACACCAGTTTCATTATTGAGCAATGCTGCAGAGCAGTTTCCAGGAATACAAACTGAAAAAATGTCACCGCCTCTTTAACACACAAGTGCACACACACACACATGCTCTCTCTCTCTCTCTCTCTCTCTCTCTCTCTCTCTCGCCTTTCATATAGACACACATGCACTTGGGCTTACGTAAAAGCGTGCACGCATTAATACACAATCACACACACTCACACACACATGCACAGAAGCCTGCATAGGGACATTACTGTGTAACCTGGCACCCGAGCGCTCACCTGGAGTAATCGGCACATAACTTTCCTCTGCTAACATGCACAAATATACACAAAAACAGAGTGCTTACTGTTAGCCTAGACAGTTCTGACCTGTGTAAAGCCAGTCTTCTGGTTCAAACACACCGCCTTGACACATACAAACACGCCGGCAAAAGTCAGGAGCAGGACGGAGGAGGAGGAGTAGTTACAGACGGACGCAGAGAGCAGTCTGATATTCTCCGTCTGGCCGGCACTCTCTTTTACTTCAGGTGTCATTCCTCTAGTTTCAAAAGATGGCTCTCTCTGCTTTTCTGACTGACTTTCCTCTTTCTGTCTACATTCTCCTATACCCCATTCTCTCTATCTCTCTCTCCCTCCCTGCTCCCTGTCTCAGTGCCTCCCTCTGCCTCCTTGTCATCATCTCCCTCTTTGCTTCGCTCCCCTCTTTCTATTCTCCAAGGGCTGAATTCAACAAGTGCCGCTGTACAGAGGGAGATAGAGAATAGGGAGGGGGGGCGCCAAAAAAAAAAAAAAGAGAGCAGAGCGAATCAATGATGAAAGGAGTGGGAGGCTCGCTGCGTGCATGTGTCTGCACGTGTGTGTCTGATCAATGCAGTATCTATACGTCGCAGGGAGTGGAAGAGAGAGAAAAACACAGGCTACAGTTACAGACTGAGACGGACACTGGGCAGAGCTGAAGAGAGTCCGACGGAGGGAGGGAGGAAGGGAGGGAGGGAGGGAGGCAGGGGAGAGTTGAGACAGAGAAAGTCATTTGAGGACAATACGAAAAGAGAAAGACAATTAGGTTGAAGCAACGTGTGCCCCTCCACACAGATGTCTACATGGCGAAAGGAAGAAGAGAGGAGAGTGGCTCAGACATAAGAGAAACGAGAAAAGCCTGCAGAGGTCATGAAAACCGTTCATTTGTTACACAGCGAATAGCGAAACTTCCAAAACGCCACTTTGACGCAAGTCTGGAGAGACTGCATCACCTTCTCCCTAGTAACAGACCCTGGAAGTGTTCATGTAGAGAAAGTTCTCCAAAAAGGTATTTTCCACTTTTTTTTTAATAAAGACAATAGAAGAGAGAATGAGCAAGGGAGAGAGAGAAAATCGAGGTTTCACTTTTGAGCAAGTGTTGTGTATGTTCTGTGAATCATGCCAGGACATTTTTGCCAAACTCCTACACACACAACCAGAGAAGAAGCACTGTCTTCACACAAGGATATTTTGCACATGAATTGATAAATTAAATGATTAATTTACACCTCCGCTTTTGTAGCTTGGACTATTTGGGCGCCGTTTTGTTGTTCCCACTGGTACTTTTTTTTGGGACGGGAAGCGAGAGGCCTCGGTGCGTGGACGAGGTGGAGACGGGGAGCTGGATGTTGCAGACCTCGTGGCTATGAGAAATAAAACTCCTATTAGAAAGGACGCTTAGTGGAAAAGATGAGCGTGGGAGGATACGAATTCAAAACAGTTGTGGCAGATGAGTGTAACAACTTCTACTGCATTTGTGTAGAAATAAAGAAGTTGTGTCACTCTTGCGTGTCAGAGTAAACCAGAAAAAAGCACAATGGAAATATCTCTATAACTTTTTTTTAAAATGAAATGACCTTGAAAATCTTTTTCAACTCGTAATATTCCATCTTGAAAAGAGAAATGAACAAAGCTGGCGCGGAGGATCTCTCCTGAAAGTGTAATTCATTTGATTCGGTGCCAGAGAAACCTCAACTGGAGAAAGTTTGCGCTAAACTGAACAAAACTTTTACTGTTCGGTCACAGCGGAAACATGAAAGTGAGGATATCACAAAGGGGGCTGAGCGCAGTGAGTCAGACTTTGGTTGCGAGAGCTTCGCCACAGCAGCGTGATATCTGCACGGCACATATAGGCACACACGAGTGAGCACACACAAAAAAAAAAGCTCGGGGAAACAAATCCGCAAACACACTAATGCAAACAGACATACACCAACTCCCCCTGCTCTCGCTCTCCCTTTCCTCCCTCACTCTCACACAAACACACACAGGCAGGTAATCTCCCTGTGCACACTCAGCAATACACATTCTGTTTGACTGTCCGTCCCTCTGGGAAGCTTGCCAGACGGCTTGTCTCTCTGTCCGTCCGTCGGTTATTGTTACTATTGTGTCCTTACATTGCCTCTTGCTCCCCTCCTCCCCCGCCTCTCCATTTTCTCTACCCTTCCCATCCTGCATACCACGAACCCACTGTCTCTCTGCCAATTAATGCACACAGGGCTGCATTGCAGTGAAGTTGGCGCGTGCCACAGCAGCAAGCACAGTACAGAGTCTACAGACATGCATGTACGTGCCAGCCAGGCAGCGCGAGGGGGGAGGTGAGGAAGAAAGAGAGAGAGAGAGCAAAGGAGAGTGAACAAGGAATATGTTGACTCAGGCAGACAGCAGAGTGGAGTGCCACATATGCACATAGCTGCACATTCATGTAAGTGTGTGAAATTAAAACAGGGAAGCGTACATTAGCAGGGCAAAAGAGAAATTCACAGAGACACAAAACACGCAAGCATGCACATGCAGATTCCAGCCGACTGCTGCGTGCATTAAATACAGACTTTGCACATCCCCGATAAAGAAATAAAAAGCATGAACTCCCTCAACTTTCTTGTCCAACAACAGATTCTGACTAAAAATTGCATCCATGCTTTCTGTTGGGAGCGTTTGTCAAAAAGTTTCATGATACACCCTGACTGTGATGTTGGGCACGCCACGTGGGGCGGTGCAGACGGTTTCTGAGTTCAGATGTGAGATTAAGATGCTGCTCCAGTTGTCTTCTGTCTGCTTTCTCTGAAACGTCCATTTTAATCAAGGATTCATACCTACGCACAGCGTTATTAAGTGATGCAGCAGGCCCGGGCTTATTTGAATAATATGAAGACATGAGAGGATTCGCCAGATGGCAAACAAACATGTGCAGACTCACACACAATCACAAATTTTTAATTACTTGTTCTATTGTACTCCTAGATGACAATAGGCGGGCGGTTTAACATAAACCGGTTATCAAAATTGTTCAATATGGAAGTAAAGTTGGTAAAACGCAATGCGGATGACTAAAGTTCATAAAATAAGAAGGATGTTTCTTCACGGGAAACAGAAGTAATGAAACTGAGTCATCATAAGTCGTTTAAAGTGCAGCAACACTTAAGAAAAGCGACATGAATTAAGAAAAGCATGAATTTTTTTTAAGTTGAGCCGAAGAGGAGCACATCCTTCCTTTCCTGCTAACGTTGCCTCTATACAATCTCAATAGGAACAGTCCCCCCGTTATAAATATTCAGATCCTGCAGTTATTCTCATGTCTAAAGTGTAGCAGACAACAGATTCTATCCACGTTGAGACGGCAACGCTCCCTGGCAACAGCTCTACCAATCGTTTACAAGCGGGTGTCTGCCTGAGTCTGTCTGAGTATCATTATGGGATGTCGAGGAGAGAGAGAAAGAGAGATAGAGAGAGGCTGCTTATCACTGCTTATGTTGTAATGTGGCTCTCGTCTATAGATGCTGCTGGGTAAAGTTGTCTGCACATACTTCGTGATCAAAAAGATAATCTCTTGGTAAAAAAAAAAACGCAGAAAGGAAGAGGAAAAATTGCTATGATTCATGCAGTTACGAAACCAGGAGACAGCTATGAAATGATTTGTTGTGGGCTGATATTGTCTCCTAACTCTCCACTTGTGCTCGCTCAATATGCATCAATTAGATGCACCAATAATGTAGACCTAATAGAAGTCTGAAGAGAAGAGAAAAACAAATAAAAAAAATGTCTGACTTTAGGTTTATCAAACGGGATAAAGTTGTTTCAGGGGGGACAAAAGTAGGACTGAAACTCAT